ATATATATATATTAATATATTAATATAATATATTTAATTGAAAGTAAAAAACCTTTACAGCTGTATATCAGTATTGTGGTGGTAAACACATAGTACATGTATTGAAACATGAACACAATTTTTTTATTCTTTCTTTAAAAAGGAACAAACATAAAAAAAAACTATGGCTAACCTTCCCTTATAAGAATTTTGGATTTGGACTTGGATTTGGACAAAGCAACAGAATTTATCCATTGGTTTACGGCAACAGATTATAATAAGTCATCTTCAGGATCTGCTGTTAAGTCAAACATATCTACAAATCTTTGCTCCAATATTCAATGATTACACTCCCCCCCTCGTTTTCTTTCCAGGAGTCTGTGAGAAAGGCTGCAGATTTAACCCTGAAGACGCTCAGTAAGGTAACAGCCATCCGCCGCCACGCCTGCCTCCGTTTGCGTGCGGTCCCGGTCCCCCTCACACGTGTCTCCGTGCGTAGGTGTGTATTCGCATGTGCGAGTCCACGGGCGCTGCAGCCCAGAGAGCGGTGGCGGTGGTGTTGCCCACTCTGCTGGAAAAAGGCATCGTCAGCAGCGTGTCGGAGGTTCGCTCTCTCAGGTGAGATCTCCCTCCATAGTCCTCATGTCTGCTTTTTTATTGGAAGTGTTGCTGTTTTTCCCAGCTTGTGCTGAAAATGATGTACATAAGGCTTTATTAGTGATTAAATGCCATGTTTACAAATTTACCTTCTTTGTCATATAAAAGTCAAGGAATCACTGTATTATAATGATTTTTAGAGTTATTGTTGTTGTTATTAGTCATTATTATTGTTATTTTAGTTGTTTATGACATGTATTTATTATTTTGTTGCGGCTGCATTATAGGAAATTTCCCCTTTTTATACTTTGAATTGAGTAGAATAATGCAGCTGCAGAGGGGCTTTGTTCGTCACCCCATCCGCTCAGGTTCTGGTTTTGTGTTGCTCTCACCAGTATCCAGACCCTGGTGAAGATCAGCAAGACCGCCGGCGCCAGACTAAAGCCTCACGCTTCCCGCTTGATCCCAGCCCTGTTGGAGGCCCTCAGCACACTGGAGCCCCAGGTCCTCAACTACCTCAGCCTCAGAGCCACAGAGCAGGAGAAGGTAAGTTTTTATTTATTTATTTTTTCCCCATCTACGAAGGAGGCCTAGTTTAATTCTGAGCCGTGCTCTATTTGCTCCCCGCAGAGCGCCATGGACGCCGCCCGGCTGAGCGCCGCCAAGTCGTCTCCGATGATGGAGACAATCAACATGGTAACACAAACCGAATTCCTAAAAATTACCCTTTTTTGTGGGTTTTTAGAATCTACAGGAAGTAAAAGAAGCATTCTGTTTTCACCAAATATCCTAAAAGCCAAAGTGATCAGTTTTAATGGTCTTGTGTGTGTATGTGTGTGTGTGTGTATTTTTAGTGTTTGCAGCATCTTGATGTTTCTGTGCTGGGAGAGCTGGTTCCCCGCCTATGTGAGCTGCTCAAAAGCGGAATAGGACTGGGCACCAAGGTATGCCAGATGTGGACACGTTTCTTTGATTTGAGCTCACGCAAACTCCCCCCCGCCCCCATTTTTTTCCCCGATCCTCGCAGTTCTGTTTTAAAGTTTTCATTCCTGACTCTCGTTTTCAGGGAGGCTGCGCGAGTGTCATAGTTTCCCTCACAGTGCAGTGTCCCCAGGACCTCAGCCCATACTCAGGTGCAGCACCAGTTTCCATCTTTGGTTCTTAACTGTTGCTGAAACCCAGCTAACCCTGCCCCCCCTGCCCCCTCCAGGTAAACTGATGAGTGCCCTGCTGACCGGCATCCATGACAGAAGCACCGTGGTGCAGAAAGCATTTGCCTTTGCTTTGGGACACCTCGTCCGGGTGAGCAACCGCTTTCACCTCGAATTACTCTTTTTTTTTTTTTTTTCTCCGCATTCTTTGGTAAATAACTGACCGTGCGAACGTTTGGCCTCCCGATCAGACGGCCAAAGACAGCAGTGTAGAGAAACTACTACTGAAGCTCAGCAGCTGGTACTTGGAGAAAGAGGGTGAGCCGGTGAAAGATTTTTCAAAACTTTTGAGTCGTATCGGTTTGTGGCAATTTAAAGGCTTGTTTTTTGTTTGTTTTTTTTGTCCTCTCTCGCTCCCAGAACCCGTTTACAAGTCGTCCTGTGCGCTGACCTTGCACGCCATCAGTCACTACAGCCCCGACGTGCTGAAGGGACACGCCGGAGTGGCGCTGCCGCTGGCCTTCCTCGGCATGCACCAGGCGGCGGGTCCGGACGAGGAGAAGGGGGAAAGCCACGACGCCACGCTGTGGGCCGAGGTGTGGCAGGAGAACGTTCCAGGTGAGGAACGCACAAAGAAGAAAAGCCACAAATCGTCCAGTTATTTTGACCCTAAAGCCTCCAACTTTTTCTCTGGGCTCAGGAAGCTTTGGGGGCATCCGCCTATACATGACGGAGCTGATCAGCATCACCCAAAAAGCCCTGCAGTCCCAGTCCTGGAAGATGAAGGCACAGGGGGCAGCTGCCATGGCAACCGTCGCCAAGGAACAAACGGGCTCCCTGGTGGCGCCGCACCTGGGCCTGGTGCTGACGGCTTTGATGCAGGGCTTGTCTGGACGCACGTGGGCCGGCAAGGTGACGATTGTGGCGGCGGTTGGATCAAATGCGGCGAGGAATCTGATTAATTTTGTGTTTTTGTTTGTTTGTTTCAGGAGGAGCTGTTAAAAGCCATCGGATCGGTGGTGTCCAAGTGCAGGTGGGCCGCCCGCGCTGACACCGCTTCCTGCCGATGACCTGTTTATTTTAAAAGAGCCCCCCACCACCTCGGGATTCTTTTTCAATATATTTTTTTCTTCCCCACTTTTTCCTCCCATCCCTGCTCTGATCTTCAGCTCCGAGCTGCAGAAGCCGTGCGGCGGACAGCCGACCGTGCCTGAGGTGCTGGACGTTGTGCTGAAGGAATGCCGCAAAGAAAATCTGACCTACAAAATCGCCGCCCTGCGCTGCGCAGGAGACGTGCTCAGCAGCAGCAAAGAGGACCGGTTCAGCGACATGGCCGAGATCCTCTTCCCCTTGATCAAGAAGGTGTGACATTTAGTTGTACCGTTCTCCTTGCTCTCCAGGCCAATAGGTGGCAGTGATTCATCTAAAGTTCGTTTTCCAGTCACAAACAGGAAGCCCAGAACTCATTGAGACCATCTTGATTTCTTTTTTCCTTTTTTTTGTGTGTGGCAGATGACACAGTCACAGTTCTTATTTCCATAATTCTGCAACAGATTTGAGAGATTTGAAAGCTCTCTATAACGGAAGACATTACCCATCACATCCGACGTGCATGCGGTCTGTTTAAACCGTCAGGCAGCCAATGAAACGCGATAATCGGGGGAGATATAATCACAGTTTTTTCTTTATTTCAACTGTTCTTGAGACATAAGCAAAGGCTCATTTTATGATCCTTTTATTCCAAGTTGAATTGAATTGAAAAACATTATTTAATCATAGTGCTGTTTGATCAAATGCATTTAATGAGGGATAATTGCAAAGCCGTTAATTAAGGCATTTTAGTCCCCTCTCCCCTCTAATATTAAGACCCCAGACCTCTCTCCACTGGTGATCTTGCTGGGATGTTTTACTGTCATGCGATGGGGTAAAATAAAACCCTCACGTGAATCCTTTTCCTGGCAGAGCTGCCCAGAGAGCGGCGGTGCGGCGTCCCGGTCCCTGCGCGACGATGATGACGACGACAAGACCACAAAAGAGAAGGAGCTGCAGACCGAGGCTCTGCTTTGTGCTTTTGAGACTCTGGGAAAGTCCTGGCCCCGAAACCCTCAGACTCAGGGTGAGCTTTTGTGCTTCCCCTTTGGTAAAGTTATAAAGTTGTGATTTGGCTCACATTCTCACCAGTGTTCCACAAACTGTCTCCGTAGCTCATTTCCAGGTGGAGGTGTGCGGCTTGATGTCTGGGAAGCTCCAACTGAGCACGTGGAAAGTCCAGCTCGCTGTCCTACAGGCCATGAAGCCCTATTTTGAGGGGTAAGCATCACTCAAGGGGAGAAGAAAAAGAAAAGCCCAAGTAGTATTTTGTCCTGTTTTTAATTTGCCAGTAAACCAATGCAATCTTTTTTCTTTGCAGGTTGTTGCTGCTAGAAAAGGGGAATGAAGATGTGAATGCACTGTCACAGATTCTCACAGAGACCTGTGCCGCCCTGACATATCCTTTAGGTACCGCCTCCCACCCGCGCGTGCGACCACCGTTTCAAAGCGTTCTCGTGTCTCACCCTCATATTCGTCTGTCCTCTCTCACCAGAAAACAAAAGTTACTCCTCTGTGAGGACGGAGGCCTTGTCGGTCGTGGATCTGATCGTCAAGAGAACAGCGGGTAGGTCTTCAAAGTCGCCGTTAAAGAGGTTGTGATGCGACCTCTTTACGCTGTGTCTGGTTGTTTCCTTCCTCGCGCAGCATTTCCCGCATCGCTTTCGGCACTTAAAGCATCCACGTTAGCTCCTTTTTACTTTACGGTTCTGTCTATTTTTGCCAGCCGTCTAACCCAAAAAAATACTGAAATAAGTGTATTATTGGAAACAAAATGGCAGTAATCCCTTTTGATAAAGCTCCTCTAGCACATTTTTTCCAGGAAAGAAATTCCCCTTTGTAAGAATCAATGCCCAATCATGAGTGTTTTTTTTGTTTTAAATCCATCCACCAGTGATTAGTTAAAAAGCAGCTGAAGGAAAGCTTTAGCGACTGTTGAGTTCTTGCGAGTTAGCAGCAGCAATTCTCCCTTCCCGGTGGAGATTAGGATTTAAAATCCTAATACACATCAATAAACAGCATGTTTTTTTTTTTTTACCCTATTGTGGTTCAGTATCGCCAGACGTACACAGGTGAAACCGACCTCTGACAGGCTGTCTTTGCCCATGTGTGTGTGTGTGTGTGTGTGTGTTGTGAGCAGAGAGCGAGCAGTGGGACTGCATGTCCGCCAAGAGCCGGGAGCAGCTGCAGCGCTCCCTGTCCACGCTGCAGTCCGACAGCCGGCCTGACCTGCGGGACAAGGCGCAGGAGCTGCGGCGGCGTATCCAGAGCCAGCCCTGAGCCCCGCCCCAGCACCAACCACCAATCACCAACGCCATCACGCCGGCTCACTGCCTCCACCGTGGGGTGACGGGACTCCTGGACACATCCGCCGCCGCCACCTCATCTTAAAAGCGGCGCTCACATCAGCCGCAACGTTTTAGTTTCCATACTCGTGTGTGTGTGTGTGTGTGTCGTGATGTCGGCCTGTCGGAAGGAGACCCCAGCATTTGTGGTTCTGAACTCCTCCCCCTGACCACGCCGTGGGGGCGAGGCGGTCACAGAAAGGTGTAGTTTTTTTTCAGTTTTTTTTTCTTCTTCTTGGTTCATTTTAATGGACAGTTTAATTTGAAAATTAACGCCATCTAAAGCAATGTACATGTAGCCCCCGAAATTGGGGGGGGGGGGGGGGGGGGCCGGGGGGGGGGGGGGGGGGGGGGGTTGCTGGGGGTGGGATGAGGGGGGGGCGTGTTTACTACTGTTGTGGATTTGCTTACTTATTCGATATTAAAACAGCAGGATATTTCTCTGAGCTGCCGGGGAAAAGGACGAGCACAAAGCCAGAACCACGGCGACGACCGGTCAGAAAAGACGTCGGCTCTAACGTGATGCTGCAGCTGTTGCCAATTGGTCCTTGATTAAATAAAAAGTATTGGTAATTTGGACAACGTTTGGTTTTGGGTTTTTTTTCTGAGACGTCTTCCTTATTTATCACACAAATCACCAGAATGAATGAGACGGTAGAAAAAAAGTGACATGTTTTATTTACAAAAAAAGTAAAGGAAGGATTCAGAAATTGCATCTTAAAGATGAAAATACTCAGACAGCTGAACAAAAAGACAAGTGGACAAAAATATTAAAAAGATGAGACTACCCGCAGAAAGGAAGTAGGTGATTAGCATTCGTTTTCCTCCGATAACTGAGGGGAAAATTAGCCGATGAGCTGCTTGTTCCGCTTGTCTTTCTGACGAGCTTTATCGTGGCCTTTCAGGGGGGCGGCGCCCTCGCTCTGGCTGAGCGCCGTCCGCGTCACCGTGGACATGCCGTCCACAAACTTGGTCTTGAACAGGACGTTGGCGTTGGTGAACATGCCGTCCTTGAGAGACACCACCACGAACTGGAGGGAGAGAGGAAAAGAACGAGGAAAAACAGCCTCTTTACATCAACAATTGGGACAGGTAGACGGTTTATATCAGAAGAACGAATAACTGGCTGTTTTTAGGGAGACCTACAGTGAGGATTTAACAGCTTGGGTCAGTTAAAAATAGATAAATACCATAAATAAATAAATTCAAAAAATAGTAGTAGTCTGAGCCTGGCTGCTGTGTTTGAGTGTGAGCTGTAGAGCCATGTCATTTCATAAGGTTATTTAAGTAATAAAAGAGAACAGGTTTGGGGACATTTGAGAACATGCTGTCTTTGGGGGACAACATGCCAAACTGGAGGGAGGGAGAGTGGAAAAGAACGGGAAAAACAGCCTCTTTACGTCAACACTTGGGGCAGGTAATTGGTTTATATTAGAAAAACAAGTTTGGGCCTGGTGCTGGTTCCATTAGAAAGGTTAATGGGTCAGTCCTTATTCTGAAACAGATCAATGTGATTACAGCTACAAGCTACTGATAACAGAAGGAAGCTGGTGTTTCTGAGTTGAGTTTTTCTTTTTTAAACCAAAAAGTGTCAAGATTTGGACAAAGTGTGACCAGCAGCCCTCTTTTGGACTAAAATCAGGCTCGTTCGGGTCCAAAGGTACCTGGGAGTGCCTGAAATGCGTCCTGAGCATCTGCCCGATGTTCTGCGTGTGCGAGAGGTCCAGGGCGGCGTCCACCTCGTCCAGGATGTAGATAGGGGCGGGCTTGAAGAGCAGCATGGCCAGGATGAGCGACAGGGCCACCAGCGACCTGAAATCAGACGGGCGCAGGGTTAAAAAAAGCCGCGTGAGACGTGGTCACCATGGGCGACACTCAGGCCTCCCGCCCAGACCGCGCCGCCCACCTCTGCCCGCCGCTGAGCTCGGTGAGGTTCTCCTTCCAGGTGTCGCCCAGGGCCACCCTGAACTGCAGGCCGTCCAGGACGCCGCAGCCCTGCGGGGGGGCCAGCTTCGCTGTGGCGCCGGGCAGCAGGGTGGAGAAAATGGAGCCAAAGTCCTTGTTGACCTGCGGAGGAAGGCCGGTTTTAAATTGAGGCAGACCAGATTTTTGATAAGGTGGGGCGGGGAACGAAGAAAAAAAGTGTTCTGTTTAATCTTTTTACTTTTTTAAACTTTCAGTGACAAATATTTCTCAATTTGTACACGGCATCATATGGAAGCGCATTGCATTCACTGGAAAATAAATAAATTACACATTTTACACGTAATTACGATATCAGGAAAGGCGCCGTAGTGAACACCGCTTCACTCAGAATCATCCAGGAAGAGATTCATTCATATGCATATGCATATTCATATGGTTAAACAAAAAAATTGATTTATGACGTTTATTTACGACTGTGTCTTTGTTACATTTTTTTGTCATGTGTCGTCGTTACTGTGGCAACAGAGAAGCTGACATGCACGATTGGGTTGTTGTTATGCTACCGTGTCGTAATTACGAGAAAAGATCTCATGATTACATGTTCAGGACCTCGTATTTAGCAGATTTATTCTCAAAATTATGAGATACGGTGCCTAATTTTATTTTGTTTTTTTCAGCTTCTGTAACATCAAAACGGTCAACCGGATGGAATGAAATGACGCAAAAAAAAACGAAAATAAAAAGCAGGACAAACCTTCTGCCAGGCCACGTTGAGAGCCTCGTTCTTCTTCTGGTCCAGCTCCTCGATGGTCTGCAGGATCTTTGCTTTGTCGTTCTCCACGATTCTCTTCTTCTTCATCAGGTCGTTATACTGCGGGGGGGCAGAAGGTTTGGTGAGTGACCAGACCTGACCTGACCTGCGGGGCTCGCCCCCCCTACCCCTGCCCCCCCCTCCCAGCTCCTCACCCTCTCCTCGGCCTCGTTCAGCATGTTCATGGCCCTCTTGTTGACGTTCCTCTCCAGCTTGCTGGTGGTCTCCTCCAGCTTCTTCAGTCGCTGGCCGGCCTCGCGGGGGTTGTTGATCTTGAAGTCGTAGGAGGTGTTCGGCTGGCCGAAGTACTGGCGCTCCGACTGGATCCAGTCGTGCTCTTCCAGCATCCTCGTCACCTGGGAGGGGAAAAACACAGATAAGAGCCAACATGGCCTCGGGCGTTCTGGTTTCGGCTTCTCCGGAAGGTTCCAACCGGAGGGCGGTTTTTACCTTGTCGGCGGCGTCCTGGCTTTCTTTGTGGTGCTTGTTGATGTTGTGCTCCAGCTCCTTGATCTTGAGCTGGACTTCATTGTTCTGCTCCCTGATCTTGTTGACCTCGCTGCTCTTCCCCTGGGGGCGTTCAGAAAGACGAGACGTTTCAACCGCTAGTCGGTGGAAGCACCGACCCGGAGCGGACGTGCAACCGTCCTCACCCTCAGCTCTTTGTCCTGTGCCATGATCACTTCCTTCTGCCGGGCCAGCTCTTCCTGCGCTTTCCGCACGGCCTCCTGCGATCCAGAACAGGACGATGCATGAGACGGTTAAGCACAAACAATTAAAGCAAGACCAAAGAAAGGTAACATTTAGAGACACTGAATGAAGTGCCTTTGCTTTGGGTGTATTAGGCTAAGAGAAAAAAGTGTGAACTGGAGGAATTTTGAGGAGAGGATGCAGAAATAGGGAGGTTTTCTGCTTGGTGAGCCAATCGGATTCACTGGAAATGTGAAGCTTCGGGTGGATCCGATACAAAATCTGGGTTTTGTCGTGCACCGTTCTCCCGTCGTTGAAATCACGACTATGACAACAGTCCTTGCTCATTTTTCAGACAAACGCCCCCAGAATTCAGGGTTAGGGATGTCCCGATCCAGCTTTTTGCACTTCCAATCCCATACAGATACCAGCCTATCAGAGCATGTATTCAAGTTTAAAGCCTACTTACTTAGTTGTCAGACTCATGTTGAAAAGGGATTTACCCTTCTAACAACTAGCCAGCTGAATTAGGCGAGTTTGAATAATACACAATGGTTGGTAAAGAGACACTGACCAGTTTTACTCAGGGATAAACACAAAATTTACAAAATTATAAATATCAAAGGGAAATGGCATCAGTGAACAGTAAAAGTGCAAATAATATTGTAAACTATATTAAAAAGGCAAAACACACAAACACTCCTGAATAGAAAATAGTCTATTAACTCAGCATCAGTAATGGATTATTTTAACTGTCGCACGGATCTGACTTTTTAAAAAAACTGGATCGGGAGTCTGGATCAGCATTTTCTAATGCCGGCCGATACGCATTTTTTTGCAAATATTGGCAGCCGATCCGATCCAAATATCTGATCAGGACAAGCCTATTCGGGGTATTAACCCCAAGCTTTACCCTTCCCTTAGTACAGCGTGGATGGAGTCTAAAAAAACGCTTGTTCCAAACAACTTTGTTCCACTGCTGCGAACATTAAAAAAACAAAAACAAAAGCCGGCACCTTGTTCTGGGACACGGTGCAGGCCATGCTGTCAATCTGCTCCTGGATGGCCTTCATGGCCTCGTCCACAGCCTGGACCTGCTGCTCGTAGCTGGCCTGCTCCCTCCGCAGCTCCTCCAGCTCCAGGGCCACGGCGTCCGACTCCTGGAGACCAAAAGAACGTTCAGATACTAAAATAAATAAATGAATAAATGACACGGGTGGGCGGGTTGGTGGCCGGCGTACCTGCTGCTTCTGCTTCAGCTTCTTGTTAAAGGCGTCGGCTTTGGTCTTGGCCGCGTTGAGCTTCTGCTGGGCGGCCTTCAGCTCCTTCTCCCTCTCCGCCTCGGCGTTCTTCATTTTGTTCTCCAGCACCCTGTATTTCTCCTCGGCGCGCTTCTGCACCTCCTTTGTGACGCGCAGGGTCTCCTCGCTCTCCTCTGGGGAAACGAGGGAGCACGAAGACGATAAGGGCGGGGGTTTAAGATGGAGCGCTAGGAGAGCGTCCGGAGC